TAGAAGCTCCATCGAAAACCATAGTCCATCGGGATCCTGGCTCTGGTCCTTCATACGATCCAGATTCTTCACAATCTGTAACTAGCATAATATTCTCATCCGGGAACTCGAAATTCATAGACTGATAGTCCTCTATAACTTGGTGAGCCAAATGATCTTCCAGTACACTTCCTTTGATTGCTTTCTGAGTGGTGTACTGAATGTCATATTCTGTGAAGACCATTTTCCATTTGGCTATTTTTCCGGAGAGAGCGGGCTTCTCGAATATGTATTTGATAGAATCCATTTTAGAGATCAACAGAGTAGTAAGGGTCAACGTATATTGTCTTAGTCGGTGAGAAGCCCGTGCCAAAGTGCAAAAAGTTTTCTCGAGTAATGAGTATCTTGTTTCATAATCAGTAAAAATTTTGCTAAGGTAGCATATTGCACGCTCTTTTCGACCAGACTCGTCATGCTGCCCCTGTACAGACCCTATTGAGTTCTCTAACACTGTTAGGTACATGATTAGAGGTCTTCCTTCAATTGGTGGAATTAGATTTGGAGGTTCTTGGAGGTACTCCTTTATTTTATCAAAGGCTGTCTGGAAATCATCGTTCCACTTTACTACCTGATCTTTCTTCAGCAACTTGAAGATCGGCTCACAAGTAGCAGTCAATGGAGAAATAAATCGGACAATATAATTCAGTCGTCCCAAGAAACCTCTGACCTCCTTCTCAGTGCGGGGAGCAGACATTTCTTGAACATATTTTGACCTTGGCGGGATCAACTTTGATACCTTTACCGTTGGCGATGATACCCAGGAATTTACTGGACCTCACCCCAAAGGTGAATTTGTTCAGATTCAGCCTCAACTTATACTTCTTCAGTCTCTCAAACAACTTATGTAGATGATCAAGATGTTCCTCTTCATTCTGAGATCTGTCTATCATGTCGTCGACGTAGACCTATATCTCGTGATGAATCATGTCATGGAATAAAGCTACCATGGCACGTTGATATGTTGCACCAGCATTCTTCAACCCAAAAGGTATAACCTTGTAACAGAAAGTGCCCCACTGTGTAACAAAGGTAGTTTTCTCCATGTCTTCAGGCGCCATTTTTATCTAATTATAACTCGAGAAACCATCCATGAAGGGGAATACCTTGTGTTGAGTGGTGTTGTCGACCAGAACATCAATATGTGGATGCGGAAAGTCATCTTTGGGGCTTGCCCTGTTCAGATCCATGTAGTCTACACACATACGTACCTTGTCGTCTTCCTTTGGTACCGGAACCACATTTTTGCAACCCATTGAGGATATGATGTAATGGCTAAGAAACCTGCATTGAATTGCTTCATAACCTCAGCCTTGATCTTCTCTGACATTTCGGGATGCATGTGACAAACCTTCTATTTTATTGGAAAACAACCCTCTTTCATTGGTAGGCGGTGGACCATAATATTTTTATCGAGCCATGGCATGTCTTCATATGACCAAGCAAAGATCTCAACATAGTCATGCATCCTGTTCTTGACACTATCTTCTAAGTTGGCACCTATCTTGACTTCTTTTCTGTATGCTTCAGTACCAAAGTTTACAACCTCAACTAGTTCTTCATGTGGTTGGATAACCTTTTCCTCTTGCACTAATAGTATGGCAAGTTCTCCAAATATTTCACAATCTTCCTCATCTTCGTCCTCGACTTGGTAGATCGGATTTTCAAAGCCATAAGTGGCAATAGCAGAATTTTCATCAATGGGGTCAAGAGTGGATGTGGATCAGCAATTTATTGTGTGGGTGTGTGTAAAAACACATAACTAATTTTAAAGTGATAAAAATAAAAGAAAGACAAAGAGCGCAAAATTTGAATGCAAAACATCCAATGCTTTATTAAATGAAAATATGCTTATGACATGACAATCCTTAACAAATGGACCATTGTTCCCCTTGTAAGGCGCAAGGCTTAAAGTTATTATTTAAAAATTACAAAGCCAAAACTTAAAAGCAATAAAACAGAAGGTAACAATTACTCCTGACTGATGAAGATTGAGATAATGTCTTCAGTCTTCCAGTTGCTGAGCCAGTTTCCAGTGGTAGGAAAGATCCAACTGTCAAGGTCGTAGTCACCATCAGTATCTTCTTCAGCGGAAACAACATCAATAACATTCACACCCTTGTCGTCCTTAGGCATGGGTGTAGTAATCACATTGGGGGTCTCGAGAGGATCAAATTCAATCTATTTGGAGTAAATAAGATCTTGAATTTTGTTTTTCAAGGCCCAACAGCTATTGGTGTCATGCCCAGGCCTATTGGAATGGTAAGCACACTTCACATTTGGATTGTAACAAGGAGAGGAGGTGTTGGGATTATAAGGAGGATCCCTTAACGTTATTAAGTCTGCTTTCAGTAAGTGTTGTAATGCCTGAGACAGTGGCATGTTGATCTTTGTAAATTGTCTTCTTGGTGCGTCTGACCTATGCTGATTGGTATGTTGTTATTATTGAACAAGTTCCAGATTAGAAATTAGCACAGCTCCTACATATTGGTTGTCATCATTTCTATTATGACCCTTCTAGCGATACACAACATTAGTTTCTTTCTTTCTGTTGAACATCTTCTTTACAGTACTTGAAGACGCAGCCACTTGAATCTTTCCACTCTTGATACCACCTTCGACATGTTCCCCAGTTAGAATCAGTTCGGTAAAACCAGATGGAGAGCTTCCAATCAGATGGTTAAAGAAAGGACATGTTAGAGTTCCCATGAACATATCTACCAGCTCCCTATCAGATAAAGGAGGTTCCACTCTTCCATCCAGATCTCTCCACTTTTTGGCATACTCTTTAAAACCTTCATTCGAGCCCATAGAATACTTTGTAGTTGCATACGAGTTAGTGCAAGGTCGGTATTATATTGATACTTCTTGTAAAAAGCAGCAGCCAGGTCTTCCCAAGTGAGGATGTTGGTTCCTTCCAGTTGATATAACCATTCCAGTTGTGTTCCAGATAAACTCTCTTGAAAGAAGTGAACCCATAACTTTCTGTCAGCAGTATGGGGTTAGATCTTTCGAACATAGGACCGTAGATGAAGCTTGGGACAAGAAACACCATCATATTTGGAAAAGACAGGGGCCTTGAACTTGTGAGGGATAACAACCCCCGAAATAAGGCCCAGCTCTTCAAAAACCAGTCCAGGTGTCATACCCCAAATTTGCCCTACCTTTTACTTTTGTCAGGCTTAGACTTTGCATCCCATTTACATCATTTTCACTAAGTCATTTGCATATCATGCATATCATGGAATCAAAAACTTTGATTCAAAGAATTAGGGTTATGCCATCCTTATGTTTAATTTTGTTTTGAAGTTTCCTCATCAGGTTAAGGGAAATTCGCTTGGTTCTTGAGCAGTGGATTGTGGAATGAAGTTCTGAGTTACAAGTCGCTTCTGGTTTGGACATAAAGGTTAAGGTTCTTATTGAGAATGCAAGTTTGATTTGGACACGATATGAAAAGTGAGGATAGAAGACAAGGCATATGACTTACTTGAAATATAAGTTACAAAGGTCATCTGTGATTTCTTGAAGTTCAAGTTACAAAGGAAAGATGTATCATTCAAACCATTCAAGTGGAAATTTCAAATTTTAACTGAAATTCAAGAACTGTCTAATTTCCATACAACAAGTTAATCATTCATAAGTTAAAGGAAATATCATTCAAGTGTCGTATTCATTACATTTGTGGGCAATTTATAAAGCAAGTCACAAATGTGAAATACAAGCTACAAATATTTTATTTACAAAGAAAATATTGGTTCTTCAAGTTTCTTTGCTTCATTTTCAAGCAACTCGTTCTCACTCTTTGCCATGACTTCATCTTCATCTTTCAACCTTGATTTTGCCGTCTAATCATCATGCTAATGAAACAAGAAAGAGGGAAAGAGTTAGCAAACATCAATATTTGAATGAAATTTCAAACAAGAACAAATTGTTAAAAGAGAATTTTTCATTTCATTATTAGGGTTTGTATTTGGAATCAGAAATTAAAAGGGGTTGATTCAATCATGGGCTATCTTCTCCTATTTTGCAAATCACAAAAAGTTTGGGTTTTTGGTTCACAAAAGGAAAAGAAATTTGCAAACATTTTTTACTGCAAAAACAAAGTCAAAACTGCTAAACAACAACAGCAAAAGGCAGACCTGTAGTAAAACAACCTAAAACAGTGGCAAAACAGGCTAATAGCAGCTCCAAGCAAGCAGCCAAATAATCAAAACATCAAGCAAACAACAAGCAACTTGAAATCAAAACAGCAAGCAACAACAGCATCCATGGTCGTCAAAAGGAAAAACAACAGTCAAATGGGCAACAACATAACAACCTTAAACAACAGCACAAAAGCCATAAACAATAGCAAATATAAAACAAGAAAAAGGTAGACTTGCAGGAATACTTCCAAACAAAGCAGCAAATATAAAATAGCACACAACCCTCAACAAGCCAAAACCAAAAACAACAACAGTTCATAAAAATAGTGTAGGCTGGCAATAGCACACAAAACCCTAATTGCATCATCATGTTCCTAAAAGTACAAACTCTTCAGAAATTGTGTGAAAAGCAGAATAGCTCTACATCACAGATAGAAGAGGAGGAAAAGAATAAGGTTTAGAAAGATGTCACCTAACCAAAACCAGTCCAAAGTCTACTACAACTTTGTATGCAAATAGTAAGGAAAATTGCTGCTACCATTCTGCTGCATATTGCCATAACAGTCTATAAAAAATAGTCAAAACAGCCTAAAAATGATATCAAAATAGGAAAACCCAAACCTGCATTAAAAAGCCACCAAGACAGCATACCAAGAATGTTTAAACTTCTCAAACTTTTCCCCCCAAAATTTCAGCCCTTCATCTATAAATACAGTAGCAAGAGGGAGAGACCACAAAAAGAAATACAGAGGCAAGAGGGAGAGAAGATTCAACAGCAAAAAAAAGAAAGAAAATAAATAAAGAAGTTTACTCAAAAAATTATGTCATAACTCCCTGTTTCACCAGTAAAACCTCTGCAACAACCTCATCACATAAACACAACAGACTAACCAAATTGTCGCCTTCAATCCATAAACTTTCAAAACCTGCACTACAAAGCCACAATGAAAATTATGAACCCATCATGCTGCAACACAACCAACAGCAATCACCCTGCAAACTCATATGAAAGCATGTGACATATCAACAATGGGAGCAGATGAATAAAAGGATGGAGTAGAAGAATCAAAGAGTAAAAGCAGAAGAAACAAAATAAAGAAACCATACCTTATTGAATAATCCCGCAAAAATCTCCTTGTTGTAGGTAATTTGATTTCTCATCTTCAATTTTGTTGTAGTTAGTTTATTGCCTCCAGTTCCTATGGCAATCTGACTACCTTTGTCATGCTGCTGAGGATTAAGGTGTGAACGTGATTGTTATTTGAACTGCTTTGTTTTTCGTCACTGATCTTTAACCATGAGAAGAGAGTTTTCCACGAAATCTTTTGCTCACCCTTTTAGCTCAGTTACACAAGAGGAGTTCCAACCATGAACCCCCTTTGAGCTCAGCTTTGAGCTACAACAACGACATAACTTATTACCTTTTCGAACTAAGACGAAGAATTAGGTTCGTAAACTCTTCCTCAATAATTGAATTGCTCATTCACCTTCGAGGGTTTGTTCTTGACGTAGACGAGCTTCACATCCAATTGAGTCGGATTCCCTCCTAAATCGTACCTACAACACAATTCCATGCAGATTCATATACAACACATGAAACCGAAAACACCACAGATTCGAAGGTCTTATTATAAAGAAGTAGGAGAGGAGTGAACGGCAATGATTGTTTACCTGTTTCCTATTATCGGCGTTGTCGGAAGCAGATAATGAACGAGGCATAACTTAGCACTAAGATTGGAGTCAGTAGAATAGAAGAACACATGTCACAAGAAATTGGGATAGAGGCACTGCTTCTAATTAGACGGAGATGCTTATGTCGAAGTGTCAATGAAGGTGGCCGGGGAACGCATCACGACGCTGTTGTATGTGAATCATCGATATCACCGTGATATGTTGAGTGCATTGAGATGGAGAAAATCAGAGACGATGTTGGAAGGGATAGAAGAAGGGATTCGCGGTTGAGAGGTTGGGCATGACAGGTGGAGGCTGAAAGATAAAATCGAGGGAGTGTCTCAACAATACAAGCCAGATGAAAAAGAGAAAACATCATAATGTTGGGGTTCAGAGCTCCAGTAGTGGACATTTGAGAAGAAGAGGCCATATTAGGAATTAGGGTTTTCATCAGGGTAATCTGTTCGTAACATCAGAAGGTTGGGTTCGGGTCAGGCCCAACCCAAATCCCTCTAACCCGGTTCAGTGTGGGCCTTGTTTTTTATTTTTCCTTTTACTTTGTTGGGCCTTAGAGATCTCCATTTTGACACCCCCCCCCCCCCCCCCTTTTAGCTTTATATTTTCTTTTTATACTACAATTTTATTTTCCTTTAATTATTTGCATGATTTTTTTTTGTTTTGTTAATACTTTTCTAAAAAATAATAATAATAAAATGTATATTAGAGTTAGGATTATTTATTTGATATAAAAATGACTAAAAAAATATTAAAATACATGTTTTTTTGTTTTAAATTATTTTTTCTATTTGTATCTTATCTTAATATGTTAGGAAATACGAAAAATAGGATAATAGATTTCTTTTTAGATGTTGTTTCTTTTATGTTGATCTTTCGGTTACGCTCCCGCCATATTCCCTTAGGGTTTATTTTTGATTCAATTCTTGTTTTTGATGTAATTTAAATTAAGAGTAGACATTAAGTTCGATACCCGCACGATAACGTTAGGTTAGACACTTCCCTTTCCCACTCAAAATTAGGTTTATCTTTGTACATAATTAAGTTTAGTTTACTAGTTTCCCCCTAAGACTTTTCTTTTGAAATTAAAACTTCTTATTCACAAATCAAAAATCCAAAAATATTTAACGATTACTCAAATTCATTTTAAAACTCGCAAAACACTCAACCAATCAAAACTTACCCCAAAGGGAATGTTATCTCCGTTCTACCGTGATACAGGCCGTGCCTATTGCTATAATGTGTGTGTTAACATCGCCCACGAAAAAACACCAACAAACCAACCATTTTCTAGAGGAACTATGATGTTCTGATTCCTTCACTGGATACGTAGGCAAAGGGTTGTGAGACCCTCGTGAACGCACCAATAAAAAACCATTTTCTTTCCCCTTAGCAAGTATAGTTATAGATAAACACACCCTTAGAAGAAAATAAACAAAATGGATCCCATTGAGTACAACAAATGTGAGGGGTGATAATACCTTCCCCTCTCATAACCAACTCCCTTACCCTTTCTCTTGGTTGCAAGACCATCTTATCCATCCTCTTGTGGTTTTCTCGATATTTCCCCTTCCTTCGGGATAAATAAAGTTTGGTGGCGGCTATGTGTTTTTTGTCGGTAGCTTCAGCTGGCGACTCTGCTGGGGAGATATTTTTGCGAGTCTCTCCTAGTTTTGTTTATTTGTCTCTTTGGGTGTTTATTTATTTGCTTTATTTGCTTTATCACTTTATTTCTTTATTGCTTTATTATTTTCTTTTCTATATATCGCATTACATTATTGCTACTCACATATTCTGGATATGCTGTTTCTTTTGTGATGTTGGGTTGGGTGATTATATTTGATAAGTCTTATACCCGGACTTGGGTTACACCTAGGATTAGGACGAGTAGTACAGTCATGCCAACTTTGAGGGAGTAATCCCGAAGAAGGAGGCATGAAAATCCCCCACTCAGTGGAGGTCCCCTTGAAAGTAGCATTATTTACCAAGTAATTAGGAAGACAATGTTGCTATCGACCTGGGAACCAAAGAAGCTGAGAGCCATAGAAACATCAACCCATCCTGGCCTTTTTAGGTGTAGTGTGGAGACTATAACGGAGTAATCCAGAAATAGTTGTCACGCGATGCTGCACTCAGACGAGTTTTTCCTACGAATATTACTGATTACCAAGTAATTGGGACGTCGGTAATATCCAAAGGAAGAGCGTAGACTCTAAGGTTTCCCTAGAACTTTGTTCGGAAGGTGATAAACTCCTAGTACATACCTTATGGGTGGTTACTTTGAATCCATGCCTGTGACGTTGAACCTTTGATCCTGTTACTTTCAGCTTATGCAAAGGACTACACAGTGGTTATCCAGAATATGTGGAGTTGAAATCTCATTCCATAGCATACCATGACATCATTCTATCATGTATATATATCTCATATCTAAGGAATTCCAAAGACAAGTCTCGTTGGTCGAGCTCTTTAAAAATGAAAACAATTTTTTTTTAAAGATAGACGAGTCTTTGGATTTCCTCGGAAATGAAGATAAAACATTCATTCATACTGTAATGCATTCATTATTCACAACAACAAAAAACTTATTGGGGTACCTTTTCCATCAGACTTCAGTGAACAGCAAAGACGACTTCTCCACATCCCTACCATACAAGAAGCAACCAGCGAAGACTTATGGATCTTTTCAAAAATAATCAGAATGCTCTCCGTCGAGATATGGAAACCATGAGCACTCGCGTGGATCTGTTTATGGAAACTCTTTATGTTGTCATAAAGGGTCAAGAAGAGTTGCATCAAAGTGTTGCCAAGCTTACTACTGATGCTCCCTCCACTTCTTCTAATGGGAGGAATGATAATGCAAATGTTGATACCCCTAATGGAGCTCCTAGGAATGATGTTGATGACCATCACGACGTCATTGATCTTGATGAACCCCATGTTAATCTTGCTGATGGAGTTGCTGAAATTGCAAGAATGTACCATGCTCTTGAAGAGCGTCTCAAAGCCGTGGAGGGTATCAAGACTTCGGGTTTCAATACTACTGCAATGTGTCTCGTGCCTGGGGTAGTTATCGCTCCCAAGTTCAAGGTTCCTGATTTTTACAAATACAAAGGAATTTCCTTCCCAGAGACTCATCTCCATTCCCACTGTCACAAGATGGCAGCATATGCTGAAAATGAACCATTACTCATGCACTTCTTCCAAGATAGCTTGACCGGGGCACCGTTGGACTGGTATATGCAACTAGAAAGAACTCATGTCAGTACTTGGGGAGAACTTGCTGACGCCTTTTTGAAACATTATAATACTGCCATGGCTCTAAGCCGCACTCAGCTTCAAGGGATGATACAGAAATATGAAGAGTCGTTCATAGAGTACGCCCAAAGATGGCGTGAACTGGCTGCAAGGGTCCAAACACCTCTCTTGGACTATGAATTGATTGATTTGTTTATGGGTACTCTACGAGGTCGTTATCTCCAACACATGCTCACAGTACCTCTACTTCTTTCTCTGATATGGTCACTATTGGAGAACATGTTGAAACTTGTATTAAGGATGGAACGATCCAAGGTATTCCTAACAATACCAACAACAATACTGGTATTGGTAGGAAGCCATTTTCTGGTTTCGTCAAGAAGAAAGAGGGTGAGACTAGTGATGTCACCATCAATCAAGGAAAACCTCCTGCATATCCTCAAATTCGATTTCCTTATTTCCTAACACCTGCTGCAGTTCCTAACCAATATGTTCCTCAAGTGGATGATTCTACAACTCCAGTACCCTGGATGGCCCAACAACGGCCTTTCACTCCTCAACCACGGTATCTTCCACAAAAACAATTTGCACCACCTCTAAATTATCAACAACAGAATCAACTACCTCAAGGTCCGAGAGCTCCACAGAGACAAAGAGTGCCTGAAAGAAGATTTGGTCCAATTCCTAAGTCATATGTTCATCTTGTCCCTCAGTTACTTGCTAATCAGTTGGTTCAATTGCGTAAACTTGGTCCACCACCAAGTCCTCTCCCCAAGGGGTATGACATTAATTCTCATTGTGAATTTCATTCTGGAGCCCCAGGTCACACGATTGAGAATTGAGGAGCATTTAAATGTAAAATTCAAGATCTCCTTAATGCAAAGGCCATCAATTTCAACCCTGTTGGTCCCAATACTCAGAATAATCCCATGCCTCATCACCCAGGGGCAGCAGTCAATGCTATTGAAGAAAGTAGTGAACAAACTCTGGTAACTAAGTTGGACGAGATCAAAATGTCATTAGGAACTATTAGAGAACATTTTTTGGAGCACGAGGTGTTGCAAAACTCCATGATTTTTGCTTAACATGTTCCTCTAAACCTGAAGAGTGTAATAGTTTGAAGACGACTATCCAACAACTAATGGATGAAGGTGTCCTCTAGGTAGAGAAGATATTTCGAGAAAAAGAGATTGATGTATTGGAAATTCTTTATTATCTGAGAAGCACCTCAATAACACCAGGTACCCCGTTGACAATTCAAGGCCCTACTACCCCATTAATGATTTAAGCTCTGGTTACCCCCACGACAACTCAAGCTCCTATTCCTCCTCTATGTAACAACTCAAAGGCAGTTCTGTGGGAGTATAATATGGTCTATATTCTTGGGAAGAAATATGAGTGTCCTCCAGTGGCTGATAAGAGTATTACCAACATTATAGGAACCGGTAACATGACTCGTAGTGGAAGGATCTTTTCTCCCCCACCACCGCCTCCCAAAGAAACTAACAGTGATGCTCTGGCTAAGGCTAGGGGAAAGGAATTGATTGATAGTCAGCCTGAACCTTCTGTAGGACAAGAAGCGGGGAAGCTTTTGAGGATTCTTAATAGAAGTGATTACAAAGTGGTGGATCAACTCAACCAGACACCATCCAAGATCTCCATATTGTCTCTCCTCTTGTGTTCAGAGACCCACGGTAATTCTTTACTAAAGATTTTGTGTTCCGCCCATGTTACACAAGACATCTCTATGGCCCAGTTTGAAGGGATCGTAACCA